AATTCACTGCACTATTGTTGGTACACAAAGCACGATATCTGTCTTCGCTTGAGAAAAAGCAATCCACTGCGGCGAAAAGTATTTTCGACAAATAACCACGTCAGAATTTAACGGATCAGCTGCACTTCAATAGTGGTGATAGATTTTTAACTATCGAGTGTTTTGCTGCACAATGCGGACATAAATACACGTTAAAACATACGAAAAACGGATAAATTTTGACTGACGAAAGTACAACACTAGTGCTAATGGCCGTCACAACAATCACATTGCATGGCTCTCCGCTCGATACACTTCCACGTTAGTCCTGCTGCATGCAAGATGATGCATATCGATGACACGCTAATCATTATGAAAAACTTTTGGTGAAATCTCTGTTTCGCGTCCTCAAGGAACAACACAGGTTCTCGATGATAGAGTTCAACGAGCCATTCCCTCATTTCTACGCTCAACTTCTTATACGCCTGCAATCTTTGTTTCCGCTGAATTGTTGGCCGTATTTGGTGATCCAATGGCCGAAGGTCGCTAACGATTTCCCGTAGATCCGGGCCAGTTCCGTTCTTGGAATTCCCAGGAAATAGTATCCATAGAGCGCATGATAGACGGTGTTGGGCGAGGCATACCGTTTGTATAATCGAATTGGCCATTGCTGCTGAGGATAAATATTTCACGGTTTCAATCCTTTATATCACAGTAAAACTTTAAATGTACTCAATCGAAATGATCGAAATCCAGGTTTTCAAACAAAACAGTTTGTTTTGTGTAGAAATGTCAAATGTCAAGTGTCAAAGTCATGATTGACACATAGGTCGCAAGAAAGTTCGGAAGTCGGAGGTCAGACTTCCGAAGTTTAATTTAGTACTGGCGACACAATACTACCAACAATCAATACGAAACTAACGATTTTAAATTGGCTCACTACTTGACTAGCCTATTGGTCCCAAGCAAGTTGATTAACATCTAGATGTACCATTTTTGCATTGGTATAATTGTGTGGCAAGTCCAATAATACTTCTATGCCCAGGGAAGTCGAGAAATTTTCCAACCCGAAAAATTCCTAGACCGGACCGGGAATTGAACCCAGCCACCTCCAGCATGGTCTTGCTTTGCAGCTGCGCCTTTACCGACTGAGCGAAGGGAGGCCCCGAGAGCTTTTGATGCAAATCCAATTACGCGAGGCAGTCGACTAGAATTTTTCTGTACTAGGACGGCCCCGAGGGCGTTGGAAGATGCGTCGGTGTACAAACTTGTCTTATCGCTGTCTGCGAAGTATCCTAGTGTTGTTGTGCAGCGGGTTATTCGATCCTTTATGGGTTCGAATGCTGCAAGCTGCTCAGCTCCCCAATACCAGTTCTTTGCAGTAGTTACGGACCACAGTGTGCTTGTGATGTTGGCAAAATCTTTCATGATGTTCGTTCACAAGAATTGCATCGCTACGTCTGTGATTTCTATATTGGGGTACACTTTGTGAAAACCAAAAATGGAACATGTAACAACATTATGAAAGATTTTGAACGTTAATAACTCTGCTGCCCCCAGACTAATTTCAACAATTTTATCACCAATCGATCAGAAATATTTCTACGCATCTGAAAAATTTATGACTTTATCATTTTTATAAAATGTCACTATTAAAAATTGCACGAATGTGCAACTGTTGCTATGATAATTAAAATTATCACCGATTGCCTGCGAAAAGCGATTTCCCTAACATAGATTTCAAAGTTGAATTCCATCCGGTCTCACCAAACGGTGTTTATTCAATCACCGCGTGGTGAGTGGTGGTGCTCTCCAATACACAACGAAAGGCTCCCCGCAAGCAACTAGCTATCAAGGCTGCCCTCAACCGCTGATCGGATTCAGTTCCAGTCACCGTGTGTGGTAGTGTCCGGTCCTCAACATCAGCAGCAGCAGCAGTGCTGTCGGCGTGTGGCGTTGAACATTGTTCTCCAGTACACAACGAAAGGCTGCCTGCAAGCAGCTGCAGCCCACATGACCATCCATAGAAGGAAGAAGAAGCCGCACAGCTATTGATCGGAATCAGTAGCTCTTTTTGAGTCGCTGTGGGCTATGTCAAGCGAGTCATACTAAAGAGTATAAACAGAGAGAACCCCGCTCAAATTTCTATTCCACAACACCAGCTCCTGCTGCAATTAACAAATAATATTTATTATATAAGACCACGTAGTCGTACGTCACCATTGCTTATAACCCCATAGGGCTGCCCCTTGCAGTTTTTATCTGTGTGTAGTTAAAATCCGCAGATCTTGCTAGTTGACAACTCAGAAAATGTTACGGTTTCCAGATTCCCCACATGCCCTGACCCCTTTCTCCCTAACTGCGCCCATGGTGGCTTGCATTGTTTTCCTTTGTCGAAAAGTTTCGTCAATCGATCATCCATGATTGGTCGGTCACCCGCCGTCGTCGTCGTCGTCGTCAGCATCTTCTTCCTCCTTTCCATTCATCCAATCAAGTTGATTATTGATTTTAATTGAAAAGTGGCAAACTTTTCGACGCGGGAACCAAATTGGCAAGTCCATTAAAAACTAACTATAAGCTAATTAATTTACCGCCGGCGAGCACCTGATCTAGAAAGGAATTTGGCAACTGAAGTTTCGTTCCGACCACGAGGGCTTTCTTTCCAGTGAAAACTTTGCTTGAAGCCAAATTTTCACAATGATTGTATTTCTGGTTTTTGTTTTTGATATCACTGTACAGTTTCCGGCGCAGCTGACTGGCAAACGCGTTTTGGGTTTTCGAATAGTTTTACAAATAATATCTTACAGAGCTGACCGCCTCCGCCTCCCTTAAATGTAACAAATATACCTACGCAGAGGCAAAAAGCTAATTCGCATTCTTACAAAACAAAAACGAACTTTTTTTTTTCTCCTAGATACCTATATAGCCTTTTTTTGTTAGGGATTGCATATAACAACACTATTTAAGTATAAATATCATCTAAGGTTCGATCGCAACTCGTGAACGGATCTCTAATACCATCCGTATGTTGGTTTGCTTGTTTGTGTGTGTTTGTGTGAATAGGTTCTTATCGAGTAAAACAAAAAGAATATCCAAGTTCAATCGAGTTAGTTCTTTCCGAGCGTGCGGTTCGCCTAATATCGGGTGTATTTGCTGAGTACGCGCGCACTTTTGGTTTTTAGTATTCTTTTGGTATGTAATTGCATTTCAGTGTGATTTTTGGTTTAACACCTCCCGTCGATAGTATATATCACAAACATTGAAACTTAACTTGAATTTGTGTTACAATGGGTGATTTTTCATCCTCTATTTGGTGCCAACAGTGACTTACAATCTAGAATACACGCATCTGTGATGTCAAACCCTTACATTAAAAACAACTACCATCCGAATAACAGCGATATAGGTTTCATTCATTGTACATAGGTATTTTTTTTTTCTATTTACAAAACAAACAATTTAACATGTCAAATTTGAGCTAATATTCGTTTGTTTACTGATTGAACATAGGAAAGTACGGTGTCGAATTCAATCAGTGTTTTTCTTGTTCACGGTGGCGGAACAACCGTCAACTGTCATCGAAAAGTTCCTGTCGAACGAATTGTTGTTGCTTACCTTTCGCAGCATTGTGCGTCACACCAGCTGCGATTTTATTTATTGGTTTTGGTTTTCCTGATTCTTAAATTAAACGAAAACTCGTCAGAATGGGATCGATTTATTGTCTGCTGTGAAGAAGCCATTGATAGAAGCAGCGTCTTCGTCGATAGCAGAAGCGGAAGCAGTTTGGTGGGAAGCATTACCGTTCAGGACGAGGATCGCCAGGTTCAAGATCCCCGAATCAGCGAGGTGCCGGTCCAGAAACGCCTTGTTGGAACATACGGTGGGCCACAAAACGGGTATTGCTCCAGCGCCATAAAGTTGAAATCCCCAGGCAAGCGGTACTCGTGCAGGTGAAGAACGTCCGGAAGAGTAGGAGATTTGTGAAAGCGGAATTCAACGGCAGGCAGATCAGTCTCCAACTTGATTCTGCGTCGGATATCAGCGTCATTTCCGAGGAATCATGGCAGCATATCGGAAAACCCACAGCAAGTCCTGCAACAATTCAAACTGGGCAAACCCTTGAAGCTGAAGTTTCAGTGTTCCTGTGAAGTTGCAATCAAAGGGAAACAGCGTCAAGGTCAACTTTTCGTGGTCAAGCAGCAGCTCAATCTGCTTGGGCTGGACTTAATCGATAAGTTTAACCTCGGGTCAGTTCTGCAATCAAATCAGCAGCTATCCAACATCGATCAACTCCCTCCAAGCAGCTTTTCCAGCGGTGTTCTACGATGAACCAGGGTTGTGCTCGGAGACCAAGGTGAAGTTCACGTTGAGGGAAGGTAAATGCCCAGTGTTCCGACCGAAGAGACCCCTAGCCTACGCCATGTGCAGTACGCAATCGACGCGGACTTGGACCCGCTGAAACGTGCCACAATCATCACCGGGCGAATTTCTCGGAGTGGGCAGCTCCAATGATGCTCTACAGCCGCATCGGAACCCATTTCCTCTACCGCAGGAAATCTTCGCGGGGCTGGCGAAGTGCAAGGTCTTCATTCAAATCAGATGCGTTCTTACCAATGGAGGTAGACGAAAGCTGTTGAGAGTTGCTCACCATCAACATCGGTACAATCGGCTTCCACCGGGAGTTAAGGCAGCACCCGGAGCGTTCGCTGGACTCAAATGCGCTTCGGGGTATCTCGATGATGTTCTGGTTGGCGGAGTCGACAACGCGGATCATTGACGCAACCTCCAAGCCGTCCTAAGTCGAATTCAGGAATTCGGATTCGCCATCAAAGCGGAAAAGTACTCATTTGACCAGCGTCAAATCAAGTACCTGGGACATCTCAACGATGTCTCTGGAGTTCGATCGTTTCTGGGAGCGAGTTCCGAGTATGCGTACGCTGCGATATCGACTGGATGAGCTTCTCAAAGCCGACTTGAAATCCGTCTGGTCAGTGGAAAGCACCAAGGATTCTGACCTCAGATTTGCTTCTGACGTACTACAACAACGCGAGCAGCGGATGCGTCATAGGTTGGAGTTGGTGCGAACATTAGTCAGAAGTTTCCAGCCGGGTCAACTAAGGTCGTGCAGCACACTTCTAGAGCACTGCCAGCCGCCGAGCAAGCCTACAGTCAGCCAGACCATGAGGGGCTCGGGATCATCTTCGCTGTGACCAAGTTCTTCAAGATGCTGTTAGGTCCGAGCATTACACTACAAACTGATCACGCTCCACTTCTTCGGATCTTCGGGTCGAAAAATGGCGTCCTAGTCTACACCGGCTACAACGTTATGCTCTACAGTTTCTGCTCTACTACTTCAACATTGTCTACGTGAATAGAACGAAATTCAGAAACGCCGATATCCTGTCCCGGTTGATCGACACGTCAAGCCAGAGGAAGACTTCGTCGTATCCAAGGATCATCACGGAGATCGAGTTAACGCACTTCCTCTCAGTTTCAGGGCAATACAGCAAGCCACCCGTTCCAACCCTGTACTTAGCAAGGTTGGCCACTGTTCAAAATGACAATTTCGGACCGTGAGATCCAGCAATTCTTCGACCGGAGTGATTCGCTATCTACGGTTCAAGGGTGCGTGATGTTTGCCGAACGTTTAGTGATTCCGACCGATTTCCGGATGCGTTGCTCTCCATTGTGGTCATCCTGGCATCCAGCTCATGAAGGCGATTGCGCTATCGACTCGGATATCACTGCGCAGTTGCAGCCAAGAGCCCACCAAAAGCACCACCAAGCAGAGTACTTCCTGCTTAGCGTTGCTTCGTACACGAAGTGGGTGGAAATCGTCAGAACCAAGTCGATAACAGCCACTGCAACCATCGGAATCCGACGAGGTCTCTTCGCTCGCCTTGGTATGCCAGAAATGCTAGTCAGCGACAACGGTACGCAGTTCACCAGTACCGAGTTCGCACAATTCTGCCTCGAGAACGGTATCGTATCCGTAGTCCAACGACCAAGCCGAGCGTTTCGTGGACACCTTTAAGCAAGCGGTCGAAAATATTCGAAATTCAGGAAGCACTGGACACTTTTCTGTTGAACTACCGAACCACACCGAACCTGTCAGCAGCACAAGGCAGATCTCCGTCCGAAGTCATGTTTGGGCGCAGAATTCGGACCAGCCTGGACTTATGCCATCCACCAGCCATTCGGGAAGCGAACGCTCAACCAGATTCAAGGTCGTTCAGTAAAGGTGCACTCTAACAATTCGTAGAGATGGGCATCAGGAGTGATTCTGAAGCGAGTGGGACAGGTGATGAAGACAGGTGCATGATTCGTTCGCACATTAACCAGCTGCGAAGCCGAACGAACGTCGACAGTAAGACAGTCTGGCTCGTTTCCGTTCAAGGTAGAAAAGCAAAAATTGCCTCTGGATCTCTTACTGAGAGCCTGGAACCTGCACAAGCCAAGCCAGCCACAACCATCAGGTCCATTCACATCACCGAGACCGTCACCATCAACCGCACCGGTTGCACAAACGCCATCTACGCTCGAAACGCCGGTTGAGCATTCGACACCACAGCAAGTCTTGCGCCATCCACGCCAGCTTCTCCGAACCTACCCAAGTAACATTGCAAGTTTTATCGAAGATTTAAAACATTCTACAAGTCTGAATCCTGGTATACAGAACCCTCATAAAACCAAAATTGTTACTTGGGTAGTTTGGGTTACTCCGGAATCGACAACAGATCTTCGTCAGCCGTCATCCATCACGTCTGCGTCTACGTCCGTAGTCCCATCGTCCTCGACAACAAGCCCTGTGCCACCTAGATCAGTAGAAACCGAAACAGCTGTCCAGGTACCTCGCCGCTCTTCACGTCTACGAAGACCGCCGATTAGATTCGACCCGTACCAGCTGTATTGTGACAGCTATTCATGCCGTGCTTATGACAATTATCAATATATTATGCAACGATAGGCGAGAGGAAACATTGCTGATCAGAAATAGTTGAATTATTCAAAAAACATAAGAATTAGCACAAAATGTCGCTGTTGATATGATAGTTATTTGACAGTTTTCCTATTACGTGAACGTTGTTCTACCGTTCGTGCTGTGCGAGAGGAGTGAGGTGGTAGAGCATGAGTGAACGAGAATAAAAAAATTATAGCCCACGACAACGAAGCGAATGTAATCACAGTTTACACCTCTGCTCCAAAGGGTCTTCAACTTACACTGCCTCAAACCACCTCTTCTGGGTCTGTAGTCAGGTTCATAACATCTTCTTTAACCAGTCATTCTAGCTAGGCTCAAACGATCTTCTCGGAAAACATGGAGTAGTTCATTCTCAATGAGCCTTAATGGCCTTCCAAAAGGGTGTCAAATGATATTCCATTTCTCAGCCAACCCACATCCAAGTCTGTCCTGAATCACAACCGAACGCACCGAATCCGAAACATCCCTAACATCTACCGCATCAATTTGCAACTTATACAAAACTTAAATCATCCGCTCGACCAACGGATACCGTCGATCGTTCGCATCGTATCGCATCGTTCTACTAATAATACTCTTGACTACGCAGTACATTACACATTACCGGTTTCGGTTCATAGGAAGCTTTCCCGGGCGCTGCCCTCCTTCCCGACGACCAGACGCTGCGAGCCCGGATCGCCGTACTGGCTGTGGTAGAAGTCCTCGCGCATCATGCTGTTCAGGCTCGAGCACCGGAAGTACAGTATCTCCTGGAACGGTTTCCGGAAGTCCCGGTTGAGGGTGGCGTAGATGATCGGGTTCAGGAGCGAGTTGGCGTATCCGAGCCACAGGAACAGGGACGACAGGGTGCGGTGGTCTTCGCCGAGAAAGGGCCGCACCAGTGCGAGGATGAAGAACGGCAGCCAGCAGATGGTGAAGGCCGACATGATGATGCCGAGGGTGGTGGAAGCCTTCCGTTCCTTCGCCAGCTGGAAGCGTAGACGTTTGTGCTGCGGGGTGCTAACCAGTACGGTGCCGCCAGGGCCGAGCTTTTTCTCCGGAGTGCTAGCAGTCCCGTTGACGGCACTTTTCAGGTGTTGTTGGGCACGCCTTTCTTCGTTGACGATCCGCCGAGCAGCACGGAAGATTTGGAAGTACACGAAGAGCATCACCGCCAGCGGGATGTAGAACGAGCCGAGGGTGGCATAGATTTGGTAGAAGAAGTTCTGGCAAACCGAGCAGGACGGCTGGCCGTTGGTCATGTGTTCGTTGCCTAAGATTAAGAGTGGTGGGAGCGAAATGCAGGCTGCCACGAGCCAGACTAGCACAATGCACGCAATCATGCGCCGCGGGGTACGTTTGACGCCGTACTCCAGGGGTTTGGTGATGGCCCAGTATCGGTCAACTGAGATGGCACACAGGTTCAGGATGGAGGCGGTGCACGACAGCACATCGAACGACACCCAGATGTCGCAGAAGGCGGTCCCGAACTTCCATTCTTCGAGCACCTCGTACAGCAGGGCGGGGGGCATCACCAGGACCGCCACGCAGAGATCGGATATGGCCAGCGAGACCAGCAGGTAGTTGCAGGGTCGGCGGAGCTTCCGCACCAGGCACACGGCTACGCACACCAGCACATTGCCGACGATGGTCCCGATGATTACGGCTAGGAGAACTATGCTAATGACGATTGTCTGGAAGGTCAGTACATTGGAAGTGGGGTCCGCAGTGTCGATGCTCTCGGAGGTACCGAAGTCGAATAGAGAGCTTGTGGTTTGGTGGTGCACCGGGGCAAGATGATCGGCTAGGGCAGGCAGTGATGTAGCAGCGGCGGCGGCAACGCTGGTGTTACCGGTTAGGAGGTACTCGAGGAAATTGGCCGTTGCGGTGGCATTGACTATGGCTGCAGCCGTGACTTCGGCCACGCTGGACGCTGACTGGGTGACGAGGGCCTGCCGGGGCGATTGAAACAAAGTCGACAGCAGTGGCAAAACCGTTGGATCCATACATAAAGAGGGTGCTACCGGATTGGGGGTCCGGCTTACGCCCCCATTCCTGTCTCTTGTCGGGAGGGCGATTCGATGCTCACTTCACTCGATTTGCTATGGCGTGTGTGTGTGTGCGAGCGGCAGGTTTGGAAGAATCCAATAACGATAATTCGATCTACCTGATGCCGGTAGTTACCTGCTTCTGATTTGATATTTATTCGATTTGGTACGACGACGAAAGCAGTATTTTTCCCGGTTCAAGTGGCTGCTCGGTCCCCAGGCCCGGTCTCTTACTCGATTCTGAAAATCTCGCCCTATTATCGATTGTCCTAGTGCTGGCGTCTCCCACGGTGGAGTATGACTGCGTCGATAACATCACTTGCCTTCCGTGTGGAGTGGAGCTTTTTGATCAAATTACGAACTGTGCCTTTGTGACTGGGTCCGGGTCTAGACCACCGCCAGGACGACGACGATGACAAACGTTGATGAAGATGACGTTGATGTTCCTCCCGCAGTGGTTTTTGTGGTAATCGTATTTGCCACCGCAGTCAGCCGTTGTCAGGAACTTTACACAGCCGGGGCAGGTCACAATCGATTCGGGCTGTTTTTTTTTGCTGTTGACGTCTAAACAAACGTGCGCGTGCGATGCAGCACTTCAACCGGGTCAGGTGGGAATCGTGTGCTGAGTACCGACGACGATGATGATGATGATGATGATGATGGTAGTGATGGTTTCAAATCGATTGATTTAGTGACGTTGCCGCCGTCGTTGTCGTCGTTGATGTACTCGAGGCAAATCGGCTTACCCCGCTGATCCCTGGGACGGTAGCAGGTTCCTGTGAGGGGCGAGACGAGGAATAATTGTTTATTGAAGTGATTTCTTAGTCTGCCAGCGAACGTCGGGCAGAGATTGACTTTTGTGGCATGTGTGTCTGTCGGTGCTTACCTTCCGTGGTAATATTTTTTGTTTTGTTTGGAGATTAGAGCTGGTGGAATCGATGAAATATGTGTGTATTTTTTTGTGTGGTTTCAACCGAACCGGATGATCGATGTGACTCGGTTAGTTTGTACGTGGCTCGAACGATGGATTTCAACCGAATCTGGAATGAAGCAGAAAAGACAGAAAATACATTAAATTGAAGATTATAAAAAACCGGTGTTAAAGTATTTAAAAATAGACTTATTGAATTGCCATCGCTCGACTTCATACATTTGTCGATTTTTTAATCTAACGAATTTCACTAGGTTTTTCAATGGTACTCTTCCCAAATAACTTCTGGAATCAGCCTAGTATGCTTCGAAGTCGTTTTTCTTATAATTACGATAATTTTTTTTTTCTCCTGAAACCAGATATTGCAGTATTTTTTAGTACACATTAGAATCTTCTGTATAAGACTATTTGGCAAAATTAGCCCGAAATCTGTTTGCAGAGCCCTGGTCATCAAAAGAGATAGTCGATAAAGAGAATCAATCAAAGCAGATAAGACCTTTTGAAATGTTTATCTAGAAGTTAATATTTATATCTGGACTCAAAATATATAATACGGATCTTGAGAGAAATTTACACAATTCAGTGCCAACATTTAAAAGGGGCGTAATTGCTTTTGAAACAATGGCTTTAGCCGCCGATTTCTCGCAAATAAAAGGCCACCCTTCCAGATTACCAATACTAGCTGATACAGAAAACATTTCTCTACCTGCGGGTGTCATTTTTATGAGTGAGCTTTCATTCACGAGAAATCGACGACTAAAACCATTGTTTACAAATGCACTTTGAAATGTTGGCACTGAATTCAGAATTTTCTCACTACGCAGCGCTAGTGTGCAAGTGAGAGCGTTAGCAAAGCAGCTTTGTGCATGCATCTCACAACACTCGACAAAGAATGCTTGTAACTTTTTCAAACAAAGAAGATTCTGCTACATGATTTATAGATGTTCGCCGAAACTAAAGCTTCCGGCTTTCAAAGATTTGTCGAAAATCAGGTCTTTGAATAAATCTCTAGCGCTTAGAAAGTTTCATAGACCATTTTTCAACATATTAGGCTTGGAAAACTTTCAAGTTGAGGAAGAGATATCGGAAACAGAGTTTATTTTTTCGAAACCCAGAAAATTTGATGTCTCGAGATCATAGACAATGGAAAAAATCATATATTTTCTAATTTTTCTTGAAGATAACGGACTTGAAACAAATACACTCTGGCCATTCTATTTAAGAATTTAAAAGCCTGTTGTTTTGTTTTTTTTTCAGTTGTCTAACCTAGTTTTCCCTGTTTAATTAAAACAGTTAAATATGGTAAAATACCCCAAGTACCATCACAAGTTTTATCGCATAATAAAACCCAAATCATTACTTGAAGCATAGATTATTATTTCGCTTAACTGATGACCCCAAAGAATACAGTTCGTAATATGTAGTAAGGTCAAAATATGTTATTCTCAATTGGGGATTGGAATTGAGAAGAGAAATGCAAAGAAATTCCAATAATGATTTTTGAAATAAGCTTAAGAGAATCTTTACAGCAGATGATTTGAGAATACTTAGCAAAATTTCAAGGAAAGTATTCTTTATTTATAGTAATTTTCACACGCTCGGATCATTCGTTTTTTTTTTATCAGGGTGAGATTTGAACTCATGATTTTGGAGTGAGAGGTATGGATTCAGATCTTTATGTTTTACAGACTAACCTCGATATTCAAAGATGGCCTAATCTTGGTATCTGGTTAGCACACAGTGCAGTGCAGAAATTAATGTTTAATTTATCTCTATGTCCGGTGTCGAACATTTTCATGCCAAGCATGATCGGAGTTTGCAAGGAGTTTGAGACGGCATGAATCTGCTTCTCTATCTTGAAGTAGCTTCGTAACAGGATATGTCTCGCTCAGCCTTAATACTAGAGCTACTTCAGTCTAGTCTAGTCTAGTCTAGTCTACACATACACAGCCAGTACTTGAAAGAATCCTGGAAAATGATACATCTATCATTTTTCTTGTCATTATTAATGCCTGCTGCACATCAAGGATGTGAAACAAACAATAAAGCGGCCAGGCCTACTGTGTAGCGTTTAGTTAATTTTTGTGGAAGTGAATGTTTACCATGTCTACTTAATAAGTATAGACAGTGGTTAACATTTAATCCACAGGTAATCAAAGAGCGGGGACATACCGTACCAACCGCTCCGTATGCAGGATTTGAAAATAGGCTATATAAATCGTTGGGAGTGACAGAGCTAAGAAAGTTAATGTACACTCCTTGATTGTCCGATCTCCTGGGATGGAACACAGGTATTTACCCCTTGTGTTCGAGCGTACAGTCCTCCCTCCGTACAAGCGTGGACGGCACCGCCAACCCACTGCCATCCCTCAATCGATCCAGCCGACCTCAGTCGAAGGACAACAGAGAGCGGTGTGCGGACGTAACCTATACGGAGGGAATGCTGTATTCGCCTAGGTTATAGCGCCCTTGCTCGCTACCATTTTCTTCTAGCGGTTGGGACCTGAGCACTAACTCTTGTCCTAGCCCTATATGGCATATGGTTATAGCGCCATTACTCGCTTTCTGAAAAGAGAAGAAGGGAAGGGAAGGAGAGGAAAAGGACTTGGGAAAAGGAAATGCGGAATTCCTTTTCTCATTAGTATTTGTATCGTCAACTTTTATGACAATTATATAAATCATTTTTCCTTGGTTAGCGGTATTATTACGACATTTTAATAAGATTGTCTTATCCTTTGTTATTCAAAATTTAATGTTATAATGATCAACATAGCTTTGGATTATCCAATATATTTCATAATTAAAAAAAAAAAACATTTTTTTTTTAGCTGAAATGAGTATTTGCAACCTTGTCATACAGATCTGAAAATTAAATCAGTAGCTTGCTTCTCTGCATCAGACATGCTTAGACGGCTTAGACTGACTCCACAAATCAATGGTTGCTACTCCGTGATTGGCCAGAATCAGTGAAATTGCACAGTGAATGGGGTTAGGAGTGACCGAAAATTAACATTTTGGGTTTTCCCGCATTTTTCCTGGCAGATCCGAATTCCCGGTTTTTAATTCCAGGATTTCCCGGTTTTCCCGGTTGGATGGACACTCTGTTCGATGAATTACCAACAACTGACTGTAAAACATATCTGGTACCTCTATATATGCAATTGGATTAACATCCAAAGTCCATCCTTTTTTACATATTCTGCACAAAAGAAACTTTCTGCCCCGCCCCATTCATAAAAAAACGGCGGGAAATCCTGTCAGGTGCGGCTGCACATCTTTCTGCTTGAACCTGAAAAGATATAAAACAGCGCTGCTGTCGTGCCTCTGCTCATCATCCAATCCTTTGCTTGTCCGTCAAGCAGTTCAGTCCGGTTTGTGCTCGCTCTGTCGAGTTGTTCGATAGTATATTCCAAATGTTTATTCGCTTCGTCAGTAGTGTCGATCGCATCGTGTGATGGGAAGACAGCGCTCCCGGAGCAAGATCCGTGAGAAAGCGGAGAAGAACAGTGGTGAGGGTAGCACGAGTGTACCTATTTCAAATAGGTACGCTACTCTTTCCACCGATGTTGGGAATACCACCTCCGCCACGGTCAAGCGATCAAAGAAGAGGAACGCCAGCGACATCGGTGATTTCGGCGACGCCATCGACAACGAAAATTCTGCCGGCCTGAGTGCGGCAAAAGTGAAGCTACATCCATTGGTAGTGAAAAATGCCCATCTTAATGAGCTCATCGCAGATCTAGCGACGCTGGGCGTTAAAGCCGAATACAAGTTGGGCAGAGTCGGCACCAAGGTGGTGCTCCGTACCAAAGCGGAGTATGACTTGGTCGTCGCCCACCTGAGGACTTCCAAGGTGGAATTCTTTACCCACGACATTCCCGGTGAGAAACCAGGGGCATACCAAACTTCGACCCGAAGTTTATAGAAGGACGAAAATTTGAAGGCGTATCCGAATTGCCTTTTCCTGGTACACTTCCAGAAGGGAACGGTGACGCTCAACGCGCTGAAAGCCATCCGCTCCATCAATTCCATCATCGTCCGCTGGGAGCCATACCGTGGCGGCCATCGTGATGTGACTCAGTGCCAACGGTGTCAGAACTTCGGACACGGCACCCGCAACTGCAACATCAAGCCACGCTGTGGCGTCCAAATGCGCCAACTGTGGTGGTGTTCACCAAGGATCCAACAAGCAGTGCCCTAAACGCGAGGATTTCAAGCGCATCCGAAAACAGGCGTCCACCAACAATCAATCAGGACGAAGGAAGGATAAGGCTCCGGCTTTCAGGGCGGAGGACTTTCCGCCTCTTCATGGACAAGCAAATCCAAGGGTGTGATCCGCCCTACTTCAAGAAACGTCTGGATCTTCTGCCGGACTAAGCTCTCCATCCCCCCCATGGATTCTGGAGAAGACCAACAGCGCAACCAAATAATCCCGATCTGTTCTCAGCGGATGAATTGATGGAGATTTTCATCAACATGACCGGTGCTCTACGTAAGTGCCGCAATAAGCCCGAATAGATCCAAGTGCTCGGTAATTTCATCATCCAGTATGGTGTCTAAACCGCTAATCATCGCTACTTGGAACGCTTGCTCTGTAAGAGCTAAACAGATTGAGCTTGCCGACTTCCTCCGCAAGCACTGCATCGATGTGGGTCTTCTAACCGGGACCCATCTAAAGTCCGGTGACAGCTTCTGGTTGCCTGACCACAACATTATCCGATTTGATCCCACCAGCTCCAGAGGGGGTGGTGTAGCGGTCATCGTCAGAAAGGGAATCAAGTGCTGCACTCTACCATACATCCGCTCTTCTATCATCGAGGCCGTTAGTGTGGAGGTGGAATCACCAACTGGAAACGTCCGGTTTATCGCTGTTTACTGCCCACGTCAGTGTACTGCTAGCAACGGACTAGGAACCCAATTTAAGAACGACCTGACCGCCATCACCCGTACCAGCTCCCGATTCATCGTTGGGGGCGACCTGAATGCCCGCCATGAAGCTTGGCGGAACTACCAGCGGAACCTAAACGGATGTCTATTGATCGACCACGCACAACATGGACTGTACACTGTGCAGTTTCCAGACGTACCAACTTTTATCGCTCCGGCGGG